GTCTCAGAAAAGAGGTCACAGGTCAAAGGTCATTTGGGTCAGGGTCATGACATTTTCAGGGTAGGTGTAAAATTGATCAATGCGAGGGTACTGAAAGTTTCGTCGCGATCGGCCCCTTTTACGCGAGTTATTCGCGAAAAACCTTAGGGGGGGTGCATCAACCCCCCCCCCCCCCTGTGCCGGCGAGGGTTAAGGTTAACCACACATACGGGGGTGAACTGCCATTTTCGTTTTGTAAAAAAAAAATCATCGTGTCAGGGCTGTGACGAAAAATAAGTGGCCTAAATCCGATGAGAAAACAGGATTTGGGGGTACCCTAGGTTTGGCTCCTTGAGCTGGTGCCCCCCCTTGTCTCAAATCGTTCCGCCGCCTATGCTGCAAGCAGTCCAAAAAAATATTTCACCAAATGTTTGTACATATCACTTCCATTCAGCTTGCTGTACACACCCAACAATATTTTGGGCTGTAGAAATCAAATACCAATAACATATGTAGACAAGTATGACTGAAATCCATTTATAATGGACACAAATCCAATTGAAGCAAGGCTGACCAGTGGCAAATCTTACCTGCCTTTGGCCTTTACCTGCCTAATCTTTACCTGCCTTGACATTGGCATACCAAAGCCACTGTGCCCACCGGAAATCGGAGTCCATGTTTGATACCTATGTCCTTGGTTTGATATTTAAATACATTTCATAACTCAATCAGCTTTGAAATTATTTATATCTGTATGAAATGAATCCAAGGCATTCTCCAGAAGCCGTGGTATTGACCAGATTTTTAGCCAGCTGGCGCCGTATGGTGGCGCTGGCAGAGCGTATAATACTAGCGCTCTACTAGCGCCATCATACGGCAACAGCTGGCAAATAACTGAGTCAAGAGCCCTGATCGGCGGCCGGCTAGTACTCTTGCCCGCGCTCACATACGTGCACGTTACCCCGGCAACGGGCTATTGACCAATGAGAAGCGAGAAAAGTGTTACGTCACTGCGATTTTTCATATACCTGTGCCCCCCGGACGTGACGTATACCGGGGTTACATGAGCGATCCGTTCCAAATACGCACTACGCTAATGCGCATTAGCTCCCCACAAACGTATCTACGGCACCGGTTACATGAGACTAATTCGTTTTATCTACGTCAAACGGATCTTGTTTGGCTCACCCGGGCTGACTCCTCGACGGCCGGTAATTCGCATCACAAACGGAATAGGATTAGCGTACAGTCATGGCGCAGTTGCGGCATTTACCGGGACGACTGAACTAAATTTTAAATACTTTTATCATTTGATAGGCTCAAAAACATTTAAAATTAACATGAAATCAAAAAATGAAAACAAAGTTTTCTTGTTTTAAGTCAGTGGGCACTGATTCGCCATGCAGCGACAGCAGGGTGGTCAGAAAAAATTATCTATCAAAATATTTCATTCATTTTATTTCATATGCAAAGACTAAACCAAAATACCAACATTTTTTTGCTATTTTCTACGAGGCAGCCAATAAAAAAATGCTTAGTATTTTGCATTTTGACGCTTCCAGTCAGCAAAGAATAGTTCTTGTGAAATACGGCCCGAATCGTGTGCCTCAGGCCTGGTGGTTACATGAGCGATCCGTTCCAAATACGCACTACGCTAATTCGCATCAGCTCCCCAAGAACGCATTCGGTGCACAGACTACATGAGCAAATTCGTATCAGTGACGTCAAACGGATCTACACCTTTTTACACTCAACTTAAAATAAGTCACATTCAAATTAAAAAAGGTCAAATTCAAATTAAAAAAGGTAACAATCAAATTAAAAAAGATCACACTCAAATTAAAAAAGGTCACATACAAATTAAAAAAGATCACACTCAAATTAAAAAAGCTCACATTCGATTTAAAAAAGGTCACATTCAAATTAAAAAAGGTAACATTCAAATTAAAACTGTATTTCGTTTACCCTTTTCCAGCCATATATTTTGGCAACCGCTTGGCCGATTCATCAGCGGTCTGGAGCATCAGATAGCCCAATCATTTTAAAAACTGAATGACTGTTTTGATGTATCCGGGTAACCGTCCCGGCGCGTGGCTCTCTCTCAAATGCCAAATCAGGAGCGTTTAAATGGCTTCGCTCACAAGTCACATATCTTTGCAAGGATTGGAACGTTTATTATGAAACTCATGGCTTGTATAACTATTCTATTTTACTTACCTATATGGGTTCCATGCGGCAATAAATTATCATGTGTCACGGTCGGGGTGCTGTTGCACGTGCGCATGTGTGGGACCCGCTTATGTATCTCGAGAACAACAAGGCCGATTGCACTCAGAGATGTTACACAGATGGGGACCGGCTGTCTGGGTGACTATCATGTCAGTTGCTGTCTCATTTTGCACATGCGCACGTGTTGAGACGAATTTTGCATATCAAGAACGGTTAGGCCGATGGGACTCAAAGCTCGTATGCCGCTAGGGACAGCTATTTGGGTATCCCCTATCCCGTTGTCAGTTAGGGTCTCACTTTGCATATGCGCACGTGCACGCGCAGAGCACTACATATACCTACCAGCCTCCAAACACCCACAGGGCTACATGGACACACATCGAGTACATATAAGTTAAGTGTACCGGGGATACTTAGATTACTCTGCGCATGTGCTGACCCTAACTGAAATCAACGGGATACCCAAATAGCCTGTCCCTAGCGGCATATGAACTTTGAATCCCATCGGCCTAACCGTTCTTGATATGCAAAATTCGTCTCAACACGTGCGCATGTGCAAATTGAGACAGCAACTGACTAGCTAAAATCACCCAGACAGCCGGTCCCCATCTGTGTAACAGCTCTGAGTGCAATCGGCCTTGTTGTTCTCGAGATACATAAGCGGGTCCCACGTCATGCGCACGTGCAACAGCACCCCGTCTGTGACACATGATAATTTATTGCCACATGGAACCCATATAGGTAAGTAAAATAGAATAGTTATACAAGCCATGAGTTTCATAATAATCGTTCCAATCCTTGCAAAGAGATGTGACTTGTGAGCGAAGCCATTTAAACGCTCCTGATTTGGCATTTGAGAGAGAGCCACGCGCCGGGACGGTTACCCGGATACATCAAAACAGCTATTCAGTTTTTAAAATGATTGGGCTATCCAATGATCAGCTCCAGACCGCTGATGAATCGGCCAAGCGGTTGCCAAAATATATGGCTGGAAAAGGGTAAACGAAATACAGTTTTAATTTGAATGTGACCTTTTTTAATTTGAATGTGACCTTTTTTAAATCGAATGTGAGCTTTTTTAATTTGAATGTGGTCTTTTTTAATTTGTATGTGATCTTTTTTAATTTGAGTGTGATCTTTTTTAATTTGATTGTGACCTTTTTTAATTTGAATTTGACCTTTTTTAATTTGAGTGTGACTTATTTTAAGTTGAGTGTAAAAAGGTGTAGTTTGGCTCTCGGCCCGATGCGCATTACAAACGGAATAGCATACAAATGTGGCGCACTTCCGTAGCAATAGAGGTGACTGAATTAAAAACTAAATATCTTATGTCTTTTTTGCATTTAATCTGCTCAAAACATTCTTAATTAACTTAACAAAAAAAAGTTAAACATAAAGTTGTCTTGCTTTGACTCATTGAGTACTTGCCTCTCTTGATTCGTCTGTAGTGCTGTCAGAAAAATGTTTCAACTGAAAGTACTTTGATATTTTCTTTTTGGTTTTCACTATATTTATTGACAAAATACCGACATATTTTTTTAATTATTATTTCAAAAGAAGCAAATGAAAAAAATACCTATTATTTTGCATTTAAATGTTTCTTTTTGGAAAGAAATAGTTCCTGTAATACGTATCTTGGTCCTATTCGCTTCTAAGCCTCTTTCTCAGCGGATTTTGTTTGGACCGCCGATTCGTATTAGCAGGTGGATACATGAGTCGGTAGTACGCTCCTGATTCGCATTAGCGGTGAATCCGATCGTGATACGTATTTGCTTTGCTCATGTAACCGCGGATCGGATCGCCAATTCGTATTAGCAGGTGGCTACATGAGTCGGTAATGCGTTCCTAATTCGAATTAGCGGCTAAATACGTATTTACTGTGCTCATGTAACCCCGATAGTAGTGTGCTCGCGTGCGTGCAGGGTCTCTGCGATCGAAAAAGAGCGCTAGCAGCGCGCCACTCGACGCCGCAATTGTCAAAAGCGGCGTGTTAATATGCTTTATTATGAATGATGTGTGTAAAAGTGAGTTTTTATGTTGTTAATTTGGAGGAAATGGTTGGAATAAAATAAGTTATTTTTATTTCTATTGGTAGGAGTTTTTATTCAAAAGATTTCGGTCTATAGCATTGATATTTACTGAAAATACCTTCGTTTGAATAAATTGCAGATAGTTGGCAACTGAGTGTTCGGTAAGCCTAAATGATACGTAAAAAGGTAAGAGACACCCTGATTATCATTTGAGAAACGAAAATATATGAATTTCCCTTATAAGACTCGCTCAATATGCTACTCCGCGGTTTATGCCCCGAGGGTGTCCGAGGGTTCCCGTTAGTTTGTCGTTGGCGCTCGGCTCGCGCGCGAGCCGACGTCATCGCCCGTGACGTCGGCTCGCGGAATGCGTCATACCCTGCACACAAAATAGCCGGCTGCCGAACAGCGCTAATACCAATGCCGTTCTCCAAGGCCAATGATTCCGTGTTGATATGAAAACGGCGCATTTGAGCGTCATATACAAAGCCTTACGCACGCTAATCTACTGCATAAAGGTAACAATTTTGGAACACGATCGGGAAGAGGACTAAGTCTCCACTCTAGCACATACTAAATGTAACTGATTGTATATATATCAACGCTCGACCATAACTGCGGCACATCCAGGGGGGTCTGCTCCCGTGCTTTTCCGCTATCAAAAACTGGCAATAGGCTGGCTCAAGGCCGTTGGACAGCGGCCGGCGCGCTGATTGGCTGACGGCTGTAAATAGGGCGGAGCTAATATGGTGACGTCACAGATCACTCTGCCCGAAGGCCGATAGTGTTATAGTCAATGGAGGGGAATATTGTGCGCCCGTTTTTTCCTACTTTGAGAGTCACGTAAGGTCTTCTTCTTTATTTTGGTACAATTGAGGTCGTTCTCGTGGCTGCTACACATCAACTTTCCATTCGTTAACGCATTTGTCCGATTTAGAGCGTCTTGAACGTCGAGCTAACACCATGGTGCCGAACGAATAAGGTACCGAATCGCAGTTACCACGAATAGAAAACAAGCCGTATCAATGATCAAACTGATGTTCGTTTCCGGAAGACACAAGCAACTTCTTGCCTATGTGTTGGATTTTTATGTTATTGTCTTAATCTATGTGTTTTCAATGTCGTCCATCTAACCCTCACCGGCCGAAGGGGGAGACGTGTGCCGCCCCCAAACCCATGGGTTTATCGCGATAGTTCGGAACACGCCGGTGATAGAGAGGCAAAACTTGGCCTACCTGGTCTTTCCTTCAAGCCGGATCTTTTGACACCAACTGCATTTTCGGGTCAAGTCAGTTTCGGGTCTATGACGTCATAAGTGAACCTCTGCACGGCCCCACAATGTCGTGACTTCGCAGCGCTCTCACAGTGCACAAGAGCCGAGGAGCTTTCACAGGGAGATGAACTTACAGGACCTAGTATCCATGAGAGGTCTCACAGCTTGTATGTCTTGGATTTTTCCTAAGGGTCACCTGAGGTCAAGTCCTCACCATGACGTGACCTCGCCATTATAAGTCGATGGGAAAATATGTATACGATACCTATGTAAATATGGATCATCGCCGGATGGCGCCGGCAATGATCCAGAACTATGTCAAGCACACAGAATCGTGATTTCATGCACACGATCCGATGCTTCACTTTTGTATTGCTGACCTTGTGTGACGTCATTTATGACGTCGATAAGGTCATAAGTTTTTCGTCAATAGCTCCTGATCAAATTGAGCTAGCGTAGCGGAGTACGGAAACCCACCAATGGACTCGGGAACACCTGTCGAATCGAATGATATGTGATATGACCTCCTTCGACCAACTTGGTGACCTGAAGGGCTCTGACATGACCTTCACCCGAAGTCAACATTTTAGGTTGAGCTCGACCGAACAAAATGTATACCATTCGACGTGCCTGAGCCAGGCAAACAAGATGCCGTCAAAATCGCGGCTCTGTGAACATTTCTGACGAAGTTGTTTGCCAAAAACTGACACTTAGCTTGGGCCACTTGACCGGACCTCAGATGTGACCGGTTAACCTGAGGCCTTGAAATCGGCAACTAATCGCTGCGTAGTGCGTCTCGTAACGGCGCATACGTTTGTCTTCCCGCGAAAATCTAGCTCAACCAGGGGCGAAACGGCGAGTCTTAACAACTAACCCCTCCCCTCTCGGCCGGGGCGTATGAAGAAAACCAATAGGTCCGGCGAGGTTTGGTTTAAGAAATACGGCTAGTTAACGATAGGTATTTTAAGTAGCACTGTTTCTTAAGGTGTTTGTATACAAGCGCTGCGCACATAAAAACAAAAAACAAAAATGTTGGCTGGCACGGCCAGGCAACGGCTCTGCATCTGTACTGTACCGCTGCTTCAGGCGCTTTATATATTACAAGTGCTTTATATAGGTATTAGGTGTACATTACACAATATGAAATTTATCATTTCACGATTCAGTACGCATTAGTGAATTACGATGCTATCTAGAATCAGAAACGGTCCAGTTGCGATAAACTTTTGAAATAGCGAAAGAGAAACAGCCACGGATGGGCTATGGCGAATGCATTACCTACTCCAAGAGCAAGATAGAGGAGGTTGGAGCAGGGCCCTCTTTGACTTTGTAGGGGCTAGAGCTGCCACTTGAACAGGGAAGCAATATTGGAGGAGTTTAGATGCGTTAGGAAGTGAGACTGGAACAGACCCATTGTGTCCGGTAGATGGGTGGAAACTTACCTATATCTAAGAGGTAGGTAAGGCGGAACGTTTACAAGTACCGATTGTTATGTTAATTCTAACGGTTCATTTTTCCTCACTGATCTGTCTGGTGAAAATGTGAGCTGCTAGCTGAGCTTAATGACCGGGAGTAAACGCATTTTAGCGTTAGTTGCATTGCAGCCGACGGGCGCAGAGTGATCTGTGACGTCACGAATCAGTAGTTCTCCCGCTGCCCATAGATGACGCTAGTGTGGTCTACGCATCCCGCCCATAGATGGCGCTGATACATGTTGCCACTTCTCGCGGCCGGAGCAGCCTACCTTTCTATAGAGCCTTGGGCACATCCACTCCCGGCCGTCCCACGACTCCCACTGCCGGCCAGGCCCCGCCCACTTCCACACCTGGCGGGCGGCGGCTGCGCCAGGCTGCGCTACGGGTAGGAGCCGACGCGCGAGACGGATCACGGCCCGCTAACCCGTAAATAACACTATACGGGCCAAAGCCCGCTGAACCATGGCTCACACATCACACACACATCACACACTCCCCCCTGACTTTCAAGTCATACATGTCAGCAGCACTCAGAGTAGCGGAGATTCGGCCTACGGATCCGTCCAGACATTCTCGGGCGCGGCGGCTCGAACATGTCTCCCTCGCCATCGCTATGTACATTATCCCCATCGGCACCTGGCAGGTCACGCTCGTCCCTCTCACCGCGCCCATCACGCTCGTCCCCTCCTGCAGTTCGGGGCCAAATCAGCATTAACGGCTCACCATCACTCTCGTCACTCTCCGCGTCACCGGTGCCGCACTCTGAGCGTGAACGGCGGCGTAGTTCTCGGACGTGTCTCGGCACCCCATCCACTTCGACACACTGGTCGGAGATGACACGAGTCACCTCTCCTCTCCCGTACCTTGTGTCACAGCGAGCACGAGGCGGTCGGACCCACACACTGTCCCCGGGGCGATACAGCGAGCGGCCACGTCCCTCCCCGTCAGACGTTTCGCACACACGGGGCACCGGCGTCGCCTGGTCTTCGAGACCTTGTACGCGCAGCTCATATCGGTACAGCAAATTTGCCGGTGCAGAGTCGGCTGTCTGGTCATTCAGCGGGGTAACATTGTATCTGTATACTGCCTCAGCTACAGTACAGTTTTTACGAGCAGCGATCACTTTAATGCTACGATGGCATCTCTCGATCACACCGTTTCCTGACGCCACATGCGCACAGCGGAAGCGGAGCTGTACCGCCCAGTTTGTCACAAAGGCATTAAACCTTCGGCTGCGGAACGCGGGGTCATTGTCGGCCAGCAGCTCTCTCGGCGCCCCTCTTTCCAAAAATACTGAGGTCAGCTGCTCGACCACTGCAGAGCTCGTCTGCAGCCTCAACGGGCGCCATATGGAGAACCGGCTCGGGCCGCAGTCTATCAAGGTCAGATATGCCCTGCCCCGCACATGGGTCACATCCATCGCCACTCTGTCCCACACCCGTTCCACACTCAGGTCCCCTTTCCGCCACTTCACAGCCGCAGGATCAATAGAACGGCAGAGTTCACAGTTAGACACTACACTCCTAACCAGACTCTTTGCGACTCCCGGCAGCACTCGTCTCGCAAAATAAAATGTTCTCCGGACGCCCGGGTGTCCGGCCGTGTGGTGAATCTCACTGATCTTTCTCCGTGTCGAGTCGCCGTCCTCGCCTGTAGATTGACTCGCCGCGGCCGAGCCAGCGGTGGCGGCCGTCGGCGTCTCGCTGCTCGCCGCTCCGGTCTCGCCGGGCGCGGCCGGCGGCTCAGCCGACCTGTCCGCCGCCGGGCCGGCGCTGGCAGAGCCGGGAAGATTTCTGTCTGCCGCGCTGCCGGCCAGCTGTCGCCGGCCGCCGGTGGCCGGGTCCGCCGACACGGCGGCTGCGATACTGCGCGCCGCGGTCACATCGGGGAGCGACCCTGCAGCGTCTCGCTCGCGCAGCCACTTCCCAGGCACCCGGGTCAGTGCGTCGGCTTTGTTGGCTGCTGAGGGCACACACCTGATGCGAATGCTCAGGCCGTACTCATCCTTCAAGGCTTTGAGAGTTGATAGCCGTCTTCTGATGAGCATTTCTGACGCCGCCTTGGACCTGAGACGCGCCCTGCCACTGAGCGCGTCTGACACCCACTGCCACACTGTGCGCGAGTCTGTGACAATGTCCATATCAGTGACTCGCCACTGAAGGGCCAAGTTGACGCCCTTTAGAACCGCGTCCAGTTCGGCGAGATTAATGTGAGCCGCGTCGTCTGCCCGGTGCAGCCAGCTGGCGTCTTCCACCGTCTCACCGTCCACCTCGACAGTCACACCGAGTGCCAGTGAGCTCGCGTCGGTGTATATTGTCATTGTGTCGCCGCTCACGTTCCAGCGCCCCCTGGCTGGGTCGGCGGCGTTCACGCTGGCCACCAGCTCCTCAACCAGCTGCGGCACGAGACCCCCTTCGATGGGGTCATCCCAGCGGCTCGCCGTTTCATTCGCCAGTCGTTTGACGAATGACGCGGCCGGGCGGAGCCAGCCACACACCGGGTAATGGCTTGTCAGCTGCCCGCAGATGGAAAACACCTTGCGCTTCGTCAGCGGCTTCGGCACGTTCTTGACATCGTTGTCTCGGCCCCACCGCAAGTCTCCATCGGGCTCTCCCCAGACTCTCAGCCCGAGGATGCGGGTGCCGTCGCTCGCTCGCTGTGGAGCTTTGCTCTCCAGCCCGTAGATTTGGAGGTGTTCGGCGACCTGGGTGGCAGGCAGTTTGTCCTCGTTTACCAGGATGTCGTCCACGTAGGTGGAGACGGCCGCCGCAACCCGCGGGTCCTGAGCCACGGTCAAGTCCAGCACCGCCTGCATCACCGACGAGGCGACGCTGATGCCGAACCCCATCCTGGTCAGCGCGTATCTCCTGCCCCTGAACCAGACAGTCTGGTATGGCCAGAGGGCCTTCTCGACGTGAACTTGAAGGAAAGCCTTTTTCAGGTCCAGGAGCGCCACGGACGCTCCCATCTGGCGCCACCGGCGTAGCCGCTCTGCACAAACATCCGCGTCACCAGTGAAGGCTGGCACGTGCTTGTTCAGAGATCGAAAGTCCATCACAGGCCTCACTTTTGTCCGCTGCATGACCGCCATCAGCGGTATCGAGCCCATGGCCGGACCCAGCTCTTCCTCGTCATATTCACTTAGCCAGCCGTCTCTGATCCAGTTCTCCAGCTCAGCTTCGTACTCGGTGCGTGCCTCCTCCGGCACCGGATACTCGTCCACCGCGCCGCCCAGCTCACCCGGCGCTCTGCCGCCAGCCCACTTCCACGACATCACCCACCGCCGCCGGGTCGGGTCGAACGTCACCACAAAGTCTTCCTTCTCGATTCTCAATCCCGTCTCCTCGCCTGTGGCAGCACACGCCACCGACCGACGTCCGAACTGCACATCACTCACGCTCGAGCCGAATAACTCGCATCCGAACTGCACGTCAGAGGGCGAGCGCACGGTCACTCCCCCCAGCGACCGGATAGCGTCCATTCCCACGATCACCGCAAACCCGAGGGGCCTTTCCTTATAACAAGGGCGCTCACCTCCACTGCGCGGCAGCCCGGCACCGCGAGCCGAACTTCAGCGGCGCCCTCGCACTGCAGCCGCTGGCCGTTCACTGTGATCACCTCTGCCGCGCTCCTCCGCCACTGGTGGCACACCGACTCGTGCACTAGGGTCCGAGTGCACCCAGAGTCGATCAGTGCCACACGTCGACACCGCGACCCTCCGATCTCCAGCTCCCTGGTTGGGAGCGCGCCGGTGAGGTAGCTCAGTCCCGAGAGGAGGCCGGCGCAGGCGCCTCCCCTCGCTCGCCGTTTGGGCAACGGGCAGCGATGTACCCCCACACTCCACAGCCGTAGCATTGCAGGGCGGGGAGTCCACCCTCGCGTGCAGCATATTTACGTCTGGACAACGAGTTGCGTTGGAGAGGCCGGAAATAGTGGCGATTTCAGGACCGCAATAATGGACCGTCATTGGAATGATTCTTTTTTAAAACGTGCGTTGTTTTTAGCCGACATTTAGTTCTTACTATAAATATTTTGTAATTAGATTTTGGCCGAGAATGAATACCATCAGAGCTAAGTTTTTACTTTCATTGTATTTTGTCCAGAATATAGTGCTGTTTTATTGCAGTTTTTGCGCGTTTGTTACAAAATATGAAGCGAACCTGCAAAAAAGTTCCAAGGTGAAGATGATGTATATCGCAAAATATCATATTGACCTCAAGTTCATCCGTTCCTTCCATGATTGACTAGACAGATTACACATTTCAATTTATCTTGGATCAAAGGTGTCCGTGTGAATATCGGTGTGATCAGTGCCAACTGCCAGAGGTTAACTGAAGGGAAGCTTGAGCTATGATAATTGCTCTTGTCCATGTCCCTCCACTAAGAAGAAGAAGTTATTAAATATTTTGCTTTGTGTATTCCAAGAGGAGAGAGAAGTGGGAACTATTTTCTTTGTGCCAATTCATGTCGAATTGAAGATGGATCATTAAATTTTCAAGGCGTTGATCAACCAAGCATTTAGTGTTTCTCGTACGTAAGCAGGCTAAGAAGAAAAAGTTAATCATACCTGAAGTTTAGTCATCTTACTTCAACTCAAACTTTGCAGCAAGATCCCCAAAGACAGAGGATATTTGTATACCTATCCTGTAAATCAAAACATTTTTGTGCTTGCAAAGGCTTAAGTTATTTGTTGTGTGCTCGGAGTGAGGCTATGGGTGTTTTGTTGTATGTTTATGTGGAGATTGAATATAACTGTGACCCTGTGATTGTTTGTATATTTACTACAGTCAAACAGCATATTCAAATAACATACTCACCTAGCTCATAGCCGTACCCCGCAGGATTTGCACTTGTTGATGTCTCAAGCATGAACAAAGCACTAAACTAGCTTAGTTATCACTTCCCACATTTTTCTGAGCATCTAGCATACAGCAGTGCAGAGCAGCTCAGAGAAGAAACACTTAAAATGCACAGACTCACACCAGCCACCCAATGAGCCAGTTCCTCATTTGGCTGTTTCCCTGGATGTGGTTTGGCAAGGGAGCTAACTGTTATCAAGTTGAAGGTTAGCAGGTAAGATTGAGTTAGGGTGAGTACCTAGTACCTATAACTGGGTGCTAATGCTATGCAGGTCTTGGGTAAGTTGCAAATAAGTGTGATGATTGAGGTTAGGTCAGGTTAGTCAGGTAAGAATTGATCAGGTCACATTTTTATGGACACTTGGCAAATTAAAAAAACTAACATGACCTAATATTAGCTAACGCAACTAACCTACATAACTACTAACTATAGGTACTGAGCACCTACCACTTGCCTACATCTCATACCAAGTCAAAATAAAGTTCCTTTCTGGAAGATTACCCTGGCAGTACTTTTATCCCAGCCCTGTGAAGAAAACTAATACTTCTCAAGTTCTGAGTCCCTTCTGGCCATCCACAGAAAGAAATGCTGACAGCTTTGCTTTTGTATTAGACCAATAATCACCATCACGGAACACATGATATGATCACATCATTGCATGGATTGTCACATTGACAATTTTACTTAAATCCTTTTTCAAGAAATGCAAAGTAATGATGAACATCAAATTAAACATTATAAAGCTGATTTAGTGATCCAAGCTTTCTCTTCCAGTAGCAATAGAATGATCGCATGTTTCATTTGCCAGACACTGAGTAATGCACATTACCATCTGCATAGCAAAGTAAAGCTGCCCAGGTTTGTTCCTTCTAGATTTTTTCACTTGACTGTTAGCACTCATTGATCTTGCTGCTGTAAGTAATATTTCAATTTCATAACAATACATCTCACGCGTTCATCATTTTCTGGCTTGATACTGCGCGTGCTCTTCAGTATTGATCTCCTGCAATATATAGCTTGTTTTCGGCCAATAAGCTCTTTAATTTTACTTTTCTTGCTGATAAGTGAGCCAGATCAACTTGCGTTTATCAACCAACATTTCCTAACTTCAACCTGATATTGATATTAGTCAGAAAACAACTCAGGACTCTTAGCCTCCTGTATACTTCAACTTGGGATTGTTTTCAGTCAACATCCTTCTTTAATATGATATAATTCAGTCACAAGAGATTCAAACTTACAACAAAACGACATACAAGAGTTCGAAAACCATCAGATAAGCTTAAAAGGGCCTTGGAACGGAGCAGAACGGAGCCAAGTGGTGCTCCATTTGTTTGTTTACAATAATTGTAGTGCTGAGTATTGTTTTAGGACTCTAGCGGTCGGCTCATAAAAACTGAAACATTTTCACAAAATCTGTAAGGCAATTAATATTCTCTGAAAGAACTTAAATATTCAAAAGCCAAAACCCATGAAATACAGGAATCAGAACGAAAAAGTAACCCAAAAATCCAGCCTAATAACCGGCTCCTAAAACTGCGGCAAAATCAGCACTTTCGCCGCAACTCGTTGTCAGACGTAAATATGCTCGCGTGCAGGGCCGGCCGACCGCCGCGTCCTGGTGCTGGCTGTTGCTGACTCTTCCCGAGGTGTTCGGATCGGGGGCAATCCGTGCGACGTGGCCGATTTCCACCGCAGAGAAGCACGGCCCCCGATGTCCATAAAGTTAGCGTCGTATCGTATTCGGATTCAAATTCGAGTAATGCTTTCGCTAAAAATTGGCATACAGATAGCCCATGGCACGCTGAGTTCGAAAATGGTGACCTTTTTTTCCTAGGTCAAACCGTGACCTTGAGAGTCCAAAATACTGCGTACCCTGTAGAATCTTTGTTTATGGTCCGATTTAAAAATTCGACCACCAGTGTGTTGGTCTCATCCAGAAGCAGAAGCACATTAAAAAAAATCCGAGGTCAAGGTCATAGGTCAAGGTCAAGGTCACTTTAAAAATCGCCGTACCCTATAAAATCTTCATTTTTGGAGCTATCGGAAAATTTCGGCCACTACTGTGTTCGTCTCATCGAGAAGCAGTAGCACATTCGAAGAAATCCGAGGTCAAGGTCATAGGTCAAGGTCAAGGTCACTTTAAACGTTAATTTTAGTCCCCGTACCCTGTAGAATCTTTGTTTATGGTCCGATTTGAAAATTTCGGCCACCACTGTGTTCGTCTCATCGAGAAGCAGTAGCACATTTGAAAAAATCCGAGGTCAAGGTCATAGGTCAAGGTCAAGGTCACTTTAAACGTTAATTTTAGTCCCCGTACCCTGTAGAATCTTTGTTTATGGTCCGATTTAAAATTTCGGCCACCACTGTGTTCGTCTCATCGAGAAGCAGTAGCATATTTGAAGAAATCCGAGGTCAAGGTCATAGGTCAAGGTCAAGGTCACTTTAAACGTTATTTTAGTCCCCGTACCCTGTAGAATCTTTGTTTATGGTCCGATTTGAAAATTTCGGCCACCACTGTGTTCGTCTCATCAAGAAGCAGTAGCACATTTGAAAAAATCCGAGGTCAAGGTCATAGGTCAAGGTCAAAGTCACTTTAAACGTTAATTTTAGTCCCCGTACCCTGTAGAATCTTTGTTTATGGTCCGATTTGAAAATTTCGGCCACCACTGTGTTCGTCTCATCGAGAAGCAGTAGCACATTTGAAAAAAATCCGAGGTCAAGGTCATAGGTCAAGGTCAAGGTCACTTTAAACGTTAACTTTAGTCCCCGTACCCTTTAGAATCTTTGTTTATGGTCCGATTTGAAAATTTCGGCCACCACTGTGTTCGTCTCATCGAGAAGCAGTAGCACATTTGAAAAAATCCGAGGTCAAGGTCATAGGTCAAGGTCAAGGTCACTTTAAACGTTAATTTTAGTCCCCGTACCCTGTAGAATCTTTGTTTATGGTCCGATTTAAAATTTCGGCCACCACTGTGTTCGTCTCATCGAGAAGCAGTAGCACATTCGAAAAAATCCGAGGTCAAGGTCATAGGTCAAGGTCAAGGCCACTTTAAACGTTAATTTTAGTCCCCGTACCCTGTAGAATCTTTGTTTATGGTCCGATTTGAAAATTTCGGCTACCACTGTGTTTGTCTCATCGAGAAGCAGTAGCACATTCGAAAAAATCCGAGGTCAAGGTCATAGGTCAAGGTCAAGGTCACTTTAAACGTTAATTTTAGTCCCCGTACCCTGTAGAATCTTTGTTTATGGTCCGATTTGAAAATTTCGGCCACCACTGTGTTCGTCTCATCAAGAAGCAGTAGCACATTTGAAAAAATCCGAGGTCAAGGTCATAGGTCAAGGTCAAAACACTTTAAACGTTAATTTTAGTCCCCGTACCCTGTAGAATCTTTGTTTATGGTCCGATTTGAAAATTTTGGCCACCACTGTGTTCGTCTCATCGAGAAGCAGTAGCACATTTGAAAAAAATCCGAGGTCAAGGTCATAGGTCAAGGTCAAGGTCACTTTAAACGTTAATTTTAGTCCCCGTACCCTGTAGAATCTTTGTTTATGGTCCGATTTGAAAATTTCGGCCACCACTGTGTTCGTCTCACCGAGAAGCAGTAGCACATTTGAAAAAATCCGAGGTTAAGGTCATAGGTCAAGGTCAAGGTCACTTTAAACGTTAATTTTAGTCCCCGTACCCTGTAGAATCTTTGTTTATGGTCCGATTTGAAAATTTCGGCCACCACTGTGTTCGTCTCATCGAGAAGCAGTAGCACATTTGAAAAAATCCGAGGTCAAGGTCATAGGTCAAGGTCAAGGTCACTTTAAACGTTAATTTTAGTCCCCGTACCCTGTAGAATCTTTGTTTATGGTCCGAGTTAAAAA